GAAGTAATGCAGCAGTTTTGTCATGCATAATGTTTAAGTATAGACTTAAATTGTGTCACGTTATTATTTTCAAAAATAAAAAAAATGGGAAAAAACAAATATAAAATGTATCGAGTATGATTGCCTACCCAATACAGAGTTTTCATGGAGCACAGCAGGGAGAGGGTGCTGTGTAAAGTGTGAAATGGGAAAAAAAAAAAAAAAAGAAACACCTAGTGAATAAAAATACTCCTCTGGGAAAAAGAAAGGAACAAAATTAACTACTTCCCTCTCTCCACTTCAAGCTGAAACAGAAACCGCTGACTTGAAAATACCGTGTTCAAATTTTCTCGATGAAGAGTCTTGGCGCACTCTGGTAGACGCGCACACTCAGTGTACTGGGCAGTCCAAACGCCGTGAGGTGTTTCCCACGTGGAGTGGCTGCCTTGGGAAGGGAAGCGAAGGAAGGCGGGGAGAGCAGCTCCCATGGCGGGCAGCCGCGCTGTGCACCCGCACTCAGGGCTGCTTCACCGTTAACACGCAACTCAACTCACTCTGTTGCTTTAAAAATAAGTCGCTGATTAAAATGATCGCATTATAATTTGGGCTCATTCTAACACTTAAAAATATAGTGCTTTGCAAAGTGATAACAGAATTCAGATCAGTTTCTTTCTGGGAGCAGAAAGTGGTGACTTGACACAACAGGTAGTTTTTGGCATGGTTTGTTTACCTGTGGAATGTTTTCTCAACCCATATGCTGGAAATCCCAACGCAGGCTCCAGGTTCCATGACCGGGGTGAAGTGCTAGCTTGTTTACGGGAGCAACTGTCTCCTCTCTTGTTACACCAGGCTCAGGGAAGCTGTACTGCTTAATAAGCAGACGCTTCATTCTCAATAAAATTCCCTTTATGTACATTTTCAAAGACCACCTTACCGAGGAAAGTGGATCTTGACATCTTTCATGGATTCAGAACAGAAAGGATGAAAGAACTCCGAGCTTCAAATGCCAGGCACCAGAGGCAACTTCCTGGCACCTCTGCCTCTTCCTACACAGAGCTTCACCCTGGGCACTCACATAAGTCACCACATCGGTGGGCTGTGCTGGTGAGAAAGGCAAAATGTTTCACTGTGCGTCCAAGACTGGCCACTTATCCTGGGAGTGTCTGCATCTATAGCCATGGACACATCCTGACCACGCTTCACCAGGCCAGGGATACGGCCCTTTCATTCCATACAGCTCTTCTTGCAGTGCTAATATTCTCGTTGGTTTCAGTAGGAAGCAGATTTCCCCTACAGAGCGAACCATAGGACCACTACCATAATGAGCTAGAGGGGAAGGACGGTGCTCTTTAGACACTGTGCATTTGGTGACTACAAAAACAACTTGATTAACACTGAGAAGATGAATCTGGCTGATGCTTTACAAAGATGAACAGAAGGTTTCTGTGCTCGTTCCCCTGTGTGCTTCATTTCAATGCAGAGACACTGTTTCTGGGACATATTCTACTCTGTTTCATTACTGACATATATCTAGAGATGGGTATGAAGTGTCCGTGTGGTGTAGGTCACTGGAAATTATTAGTCAGCTGCAGATGCGAGTATAAAAACAGATCAATTGATTTTTGCATAGGCTGAGGAGTGACAATTTGACAGTAAATTGGAGCACATGCTGCCATAGGCTGAATCTGAGACAGCAACCTAGACCAAAAGGCACTGCCACGTCGTACCTTCTGTCCCTTTTAATAAATGCCAGCTGCCCTTTAACATGCTACCTGCAGTTGGACACCCGCTGTGAATAATGATGCGCGTGGGTCTATACCTGGCCTGGCCTGGTATGCGTTTCTTCATCAAGACATACACATTATATTTGCTGTCTGAAAGTTCGGGTATAGACCATGTTAAGTGGAGAAAGACCATGTGGCGAAAGGCACGTGCTTTCAAAGGGTGGTTTGTCCTTTACATCTTGGACATTCATCATAGGAATGAATGGGATAGGATCAATCACCTGATGGTACCTGTGTCTCCGCACTGATTATAGAGCCAGCCCACAAGATTGGATTAAATTCCTAACTTTCTGAAGCCAAAATAAATCGAATATGAGTTATTTCCTCACTATGTGAGCTGGAGGATAAACCCTCTGAGGGAAAAACATCCCAAATCCTTCTCTCTTCTGCATCAATATAGAAGTTGATCACTATAAAGTTCTAAAAAAAGAACACTTGCTGCTCTGTAGCTGGTCATCTGCCTTTTCCTAATGGCCAGTAGTCAGTAACGGAAGCTTCAAGGTTGTGATACATTTCATGCTAAAGGAGAAATCTTGAATAGCTCTGCCTAAACGTGTTCCCTTGCTCTTCAGTGACCAGAAAGAGAGTGTACCAGGATTAATACGTGTATCTGTGTGTGCATATACGGGTATGTATACGGCCTACAAATGACACATCTGGCTCGTCTGTTCATAGAAAGCTGTGTTGTGTGCTCTGCCACTGCGGCTAGTAGTAAGGAAGTACTCTAAATGTATAGGATTCTATGTACAGAATTTATTGTAATTTTATAGATTTTTAAATAACTTAAATATTATGCAAAAAATACTTTAGATACCAACTATTTTGAATCTTTTCTGATAATTTAAAATTAACTTTTGAATACCTAATAACGTTAGCATCAATATTTTTCTACCATAACTGAAATGTATCAGTTCATATGCTAGTCATATGATTATGACATATTTACAGATGTTTAAACTTAATTTGTTCAAAATTTACACCTGTCAATGTTTGCATGGTATAATGTAATATTGTTTAAGGATAGACAATAAATTAAGAAAATTTGATCCTAAAGTTTTGCAGCTCACTGTTTGGAAAAGAATATATTATTATGTATCTCTTTTGTATTATATGTCACATTGAAACAAATATAAAATGACTCATTCCTAGCATCCAAGTTGCAGATTTCCTCCCTAAACTCAGTTTTCTACCTGTTCTATTTGCCTTCATATGAAGTTGACATGTGCATACAGAAATCAAAAATACTGATGAGTTTCCAATTTTTTTTCCAGAATTTTCCCCAAATTTTAAGGCGGAATAAATGTATCCCAAGCAGCGACTAGGGCTGTCAAAACAGCACCCCTTTCTCTAGCCTGGCACATGACTTGAGCCGCGAGGAGCTCGCAGGGATTGGCTGAAAGTCTCCTGATCATCGCAGGCCTTGGAAGCAGCAGCTCGGAGGAGACACGGCTGCTCGGGCAAGCATGGCAAAGCCAGGGATGCGGAAGCAAAAGCTGACACTTGTTCTGCACTCTGCCAGTTGGGGACCCAAGAGGACCGCGACTCGCTGGAGCACGGGCTCATTAAGCCCAATTAACATCAAGGTTGCCCTCATGACATGCCGGGGACTCGAGGCGTCACGTTAAAAGGAGCATCAGGTTGGGCTGGGACTCTCCAGGGCAAGATGTCTCTGCCCACGCGTGGCTCTGTGGATTAGCCGCCATGTCAGGCAGCTCCTCCACGGCTCAGCTCGGCAGGCGTCAGGCCAGGGTACAGGTCGCCATTACAGGCAGCTAGGCAGGAACAGCCGGAGCGAAACTCGCTGCCCTTCCCTCAACGGGGCCGTTAAGGAGCACGACATGAGGCCAACCCAACCGCTCACACAGACCCCAAACCGCCTGCAGGCCACAACGTGCCCGCCCTCAACGGCGCTGACGCCCCGCCCACAACGGCCCCTACGCCCCGCCCACCCAGTCCCTAGTGCCCCGCCCACAACGGTCGTAAGGCGCTGCCCACTACGGCCTTAATGCCGCGCCCACAACGACCCCTACGCCCCGCCCACAATAGCCCTACGCCCCGCCCACAGAGTCCCTAGTGCCCCGCCC